TCCAGCAACTTTGTTTTTGTATGGAAGGATAGGGTTGCTGATTGGTTGGCAAGTTGTCTCTAATCTGCCATCCTTACCTGGTCCCGTCACCGCACGTGACTCCAGACCCCACAGCCACGTGGTCAACTCTTAACCTGCCCTCCAAAATGGCCACGTGAGACACTCAGTTTGGAGGGGCTGTTAGGGACGGGTAACAAATACTGGGCCTGGCCAGCGATGCCCACATCTCATGAAAAGATATTGAATATTTTTATTGACTTTGAATATTAACTTGCCAACCCACTTTATTCTGTGATGTAAATTATTGTGATGGTTTAAAATTTGACATTGCTGGATCTCCTGTCCACCTGACCAGTCCATTCCCACAGTGGCCATCTTTCAACCTCATTATCAAACCAACATTCATATCATCAGCGAAATTCTTAACCATGCCTCCCGTATATTCAAGTTTAATTCATCGGTATGCACCACAGGTAGCAAGTCACCATCCTACTGGAAACAGCTTTCCACTTGCAAATATACCTGTTAACCAGTAACCTTTGCTTCCTGCCTCTAAGCACATTCTGGATCCAGTTTGCCACTCTGCCTTGGATGCCATGGGCCTTTGCTCTTTTAATAAACTGGCCCTATAAATTTCTGAGAACGTTGTAAGACGTGGATTCCTAAAAAGATGCCTTGAAGAGAGGAGTATGGATAGGGTGACTAACCAAGGTCTTTTCCCCAAGATAAAGGAGTCCAAAACTAGAGGATATAGCTTCAAGGTGAGAGGGGTAAGATTTAAAAGGGACCTAAGGGGCAACATTTTCATGCAGGGGGTAGTGCCTGTATGGAATGAGCTGCCAGAGGAAGTGGTGGAGGCTGGTACAGTTACAACATTTAAAATGTTCTGGATGGGTACAGAAATAGGAAGAGTTTAGAAGTATAGGGGCCAAATGCAGGCAAATGGGACTAGATTAATGTAGGACATCTGTCCAGCATGGACGAGTTGGACTGAAGGGTCTGTTTCCATGCTGTACAACTCTATAACTGTATGACTCTTAAGTGCTTTATAGCCAATGAAATACTTTTGTAGCGAGGTCACTGCTGTAATGTTGGAAATGGGGCAGCTAATTTGTGCACTGCAAGATCCCAGAAACAGCAATGACCAAATTACCCATTTTTATTGATTTAGTTGGTCAAGGAATAATTATTGGTTGGGACACTGGATAATAACTTCCCTGCTCTTCTTCAAAATAGTGCCCTTGGGATCTGTTACATCCATCTGCGAGAGCAGCCAAGGCCTCCAGTTTAATTCCTCATCCAAAAGATGGCAGCACGTGTCTCCAACTGGGCAGCACTCCCTCTGTCACACTTGAAGTGTCAGCTTTGGTTCTTGTGCTGAAACCCTGGAATGGGATTTAATCCAGAAGCCAAGGTGCTAGCCACTGAGCCATTGGCTGACACTTACCTATGACAGCAAGATCCATGTTCCCACAGAGTTTTTAAAAAGTTCCATTGTGGGATGTGGCAAATCCAGTATTTGTCACTCATCCCTTGTAGGAGCAGCTTGCTAGACCATTTCAGAAGGCAGTCAAGAGTCAACCACAGCGTTGTGGGTCTGGCCCTACAGAGTGGGCAAGGAGAGTAGATGTCCTTCCCTGAAGGACATCCGCGAATCTGCTGGGTTTTTATGACAACTATGATGTTTGTCACTGTTGCCATGACTGAGATTAGCTTTATCTGCCAGATTTCCGCAGTTGCCGTGCTGGGATTAACCAGGACATTATCACCACACCACTGTCTCCCTTTCCATTTTCTCTGTTATTGCCCCTTGCATTTATTAATGGTCTCTATTACATTGTCGGGCCTGAGAGAATTGACTCCTCCACGTTATCTTTGTTGTGTTTCAGGGCCTGAACATGGACCCACTTTCCAGGCACAGAGACTGCAACTGAAGGGCAAGAAAGGCCCCGCCAGCCCCCAGCAGCTGCTCAAGGTGCCCAGGCAGAGCTCGGCTGGCACAGTACCCGGGCCACCCGTCAGAAGGGTACAGTCCGGGAGCCTGTGCTACGGGGACAGTGCTGAGGAAGAGGGGGTGGAGGATAGCATGGCCAGGGCAGGGGGGCAGGAAGGCAGCTGCTCAGAGCCAGGCCTGCCCCTCTCGGCTGTGGAATCGGGAGCTGAGTTGGCTGGGCAGTGTAAAGCTGTGGAGCCCAGGCAGCAGGCTACGGTAGTTGATGTCCCCTCTCCGAGCCGGCAGCAGACAAGCCGTATCCTGTGCAGGCTGAGGCAGGAGAGGTTGTGCAACATGGTGGCAGCTGCCCAGAAGGAGGAGCAGGAGGAGGACAAGGACAGGCCCCCAGCGTCCCCACTCCCGGGTGGAGAGAGGGGGACGTCGGTTGAGCCTGGTGGCCTCCCTGCTGGCCTAGGTGACCGGCTGCCCTTCCGGCTCAGGGTCCGCCCGTGGGACGTCCACGAGAGATCTGCCGGCGACGTGCCAAGTGGTACTGATGAGGACCGGCGGGCAGGCCCCCAATGGGCCACCCTCAGACCCGAGGCTGGCAATGCCACCGCCAGCCGGGCCAGTCAGACCTATCACCGCACGCCACCCCCTCCCACCGAGGCCTCCCAGCGCCCAGGTCTCCCCAGCCCTCCGCCGCTGCTTCCCCGGCTGGAGGCTGGCCGCCTGGTTAGCCTGCTGGTGACCACCGGCGGGCCCTCTGCCAACTCCAACGCCAGCCTGGCCCGCCTCCAGCCCATCTCAGCCACCCGCCTGGCAACCAACCCCTCCTGGGCTCCTGGAGGCTCCAGCCCAGGTCATGGCCCACCCCTCTCCATGACCATCCTAGCCCTGTCCAACCTGAGAAGCCAGGAGAGCCAAGAGCGGAGCCGACCCCCTGGCGGAGGCACTGGCGAGGCTGGGAAGGAGCCCCCACAGGACAGCGAGAAACCACGGCCGGATCCAGAGACACTCAGGAAGCTGCAAGAGAGGTAAGGAGGAGGCCAGCATGGAGAGAGAGAGAGAGAGAGAGAGAGAGAGAGAGAGAGAGAGAGAGAGACATTGGGCTTAAGATATACCGTGTGATAACTATAACAGAGATTGGCTCAGTGAAGGGGAAAGGGTCGGGCTGTTAAATATTCCTGGATACACGAGGCTTAGGAAAGAGGAATGGGTGAAGTCTTGCTTAAAGAGCATCTTGCAGTGCAGGGGAAATGGAGAGGAACAGAATAGTGGTCAAGGACAGAATGTATTTTCTGAGAGCTAAGGAACCAAAAGAGGTGCAATCATGTGTCTTCAGAGATAGTAAGAACTGCTGATGCTGGAGTCAGAGATAACACAGTGTGGAACTTTTTTTGAAGAAGGGTCCCAACCCGAAATGTCAACTTTCCTGCTCCTCTGGTGCTGCCTGGCCTGCTGTGTTCCTCCAATCACATGTCTTGTAGTTGTCCATTGTACGCTAACTGTCAAGACCGTAAGACCGAGGGGCAGAAGTAGGCCATTCAGCCCATCGCATTTGATCTGCCATTCAATTAGATCATGGCTGACCTGATCATCCTCAACTCCCACTTTCCCCATAAACTCTTGATTTCCTTGCTGATTAAAAATCTCTCTATCTCAGCCTTATATCTGAAAGACCCAGCCGCAACAGCTCTCTGTGGTGAAGAATCCCACGCATTCACTCCCTTCGGAGAGAAGAAATTCTTCCTCATCTCTGTCTTCAACAGACGACCCCTTACTCTCTGGTGCCAGCTGGTCCTAGACTCTCCCTGTTTCAATAAGGGCGCCTCTCATTCTTCTAAACTCCAGTGATTAAAAAGCTATGCTTCTCCCACTGTGACCCCATGTCATGGCCTGAAAACTATCACGAGCCTTCTGCATGAATTGTGGGAGCAGCCTAGTGGAGGGCAGGCTGGGGCCTGTCAGAGTTGAAGACATCTCCTGTAACTTAGTTGGCGCTCCATGGCGGCCATTGAACTCAAGACATCAAAAATTTTAGCTCCTGACACCACTGGGGTTCCTTTAGAAATCCTTGAATTAGTGGGCAGCATACAGAGGAACAAGCTTGCAAGAATGTTATGGAGAGGTGTTAAAATTGTAGTGTAGTTATAATTGGGGACTGAGGTAGTGGTAGCTTAAAGGGCAGGAAGGAGCAATAGTTTGAAGATTGTGTCCAGGAAAGGTTTCTACAGCAGTACATGTCCAGTCCACCTAGAAAGGAGACCCTGCTAGATCGGGTTCTTGGGGTGGCGAAAGGTTGGCCACATCGATCAAATGTCAATGGGAGAGGATATTTAGGGAACTGCGATGGGTGTATCCTAAGGTTTAGGCAGACAAAGTTAAAAAAAAACAGAACAATCCAGAGTAAAAAATAATCAGCTGGGCAAAAGCTGTCTTCAATGCATTAACAACAGATAAATTAGACCCAAAAGTTGGCGGAAAAACCAATCGTTGAACATTGAGCTTTAAGGAGTTATTTTGAACGTAGCCCCCCAAAGAGGAAAGGTAGGGTAAACAAACCCAGAGGTCCCAGGATGACAGCAGAGGTAGGAAGTAAGATAAAAGAAAAGACAAGACCTGCCTGTGGCAGATAGACAAACAGAAAATGCTTGAGAAACTCAGCAAGTCTGGAGAGAGCGAGAAGCAAAATTCGCATTTTTGAGTGCAGTGACCCTTCAGCTGGGAAAGGGTGATATTCATGCTAATGGTGTGGGCTTCAAGGAAGGACTGAACAGAATACAGGGAGATGGTGCCATGAGAAAGGTGAAAAAAGGGAGAGGCAAACAAAGAGATTGTTGCAAGTAAGCCAAGACAGCAATAGCTGCTGAGCTTTTCTGATGAAGGGTCTAGGCCCGAAACGTCAGCCTCTCTGCTCCTATGATGCTGCTTGGCCTGCTGTGTTCATCCAGCCCTGCACCTTGTTGTCTCAGATTCTCCAGCATCTGCAGTTCCTACTATCTCTGATTTAATGGAAATTGATGATGAGTTGGCTGTGCTGGACCAACAAAACAAGGACCTAGGAGTGTGTGTTCAGGAATACTGGGGGGTTGGGAGAGGCAACAAGCATGAAGGAGCGTGTTTCTTTGTAAAAGGGGTCCATGACGGAGAGACTCCCTTTAAAGAGGGTGCGTAATGGAGAGATTTTGCCTTTACAAGCGATTCTTATAGTAGAAACTCCTGCAGAACCCAGTCTTTCCTCACAGCTGCATGTTTTGTACTTAGCCTTCTGCATGAAGACTCGGAGGAAGATGAGGGCGATCTGTGCAGAATCTGCCTGATACCCGGTGGCACCCCATTGAACCCGCTTCTTGAACCCTGCAAATGTGTCGGGAGTCTGCAGTTTGTGCACCATGATTGCCTGAAGAAATGGCTGCAAGCAAAGATTATTTCAGGTAGGACATGGAAATCCCCTGGGGAGGCACAAGGAGGCTTGCAAATCCCAATCCACGGGTGTTTCCTTACATCCGCGATAACCAGTCCAGTCCAATCGGTACCTACCTTTCATCTGCTCCCACCAACATCCTTTTATTACAAAACAATCTCCCGCATTTCAATTTTGTCTATCAGTCTTCTCTTACCTGAATTGTACATGCACACCAACCCCACTCCCACTACACCCACTCAGCTCCATCTACCTTACTTTGTTCCAAAATATCTACCTCCTACTGATAGGTCTAGAAAGCCACAGGCCTGTGACTTCTTCATACTCAGTGAAGTGCAGAGATGAGACTGATTTCCTCCTCTGTGTGTGTGTATTGGTATTGGTATTGGTATCTCTGCACTGTCCAAGGCAGGTCCTTGGCACATGAGCTGCCGATACTTCATCCTGAGCTATCTTCTCAACAGGTTTTGTCAGAGATGGATATTCCCCTATCAGGGAGAGGGCGAGGCTGCAGGTCCCCAAGTCCTATTCAGCCAGGGTGCGAATTAGACCCCCACTGGGGGCTTTACTCAGCTGTCAAGCCAACTGAGCTAGCCTGGCCCATTCCTCTGTGTGGAAGAACTTGTCTGTTCTGCGCTGTTCCTTGAGCGCTGATGCCATCAGTGCGGGATCCACATATTTACCATCACTCCAACTCCTCCCGTCGTACTTGGTGTTAGTAGGTTGTGAATTGATACTCCAGTGCCTATAATCCAGGACTGGCAGTCCCAAGGCCTATATCATTCAGATCATCCACTGAAACCGAAGGCCCCACCTGCCCTCTCACGTAGAATTAAAAGATCCTGTGGCCACTATCAGGGAGGGAGCTCCCTTAATGTCTTGGCTTAATATTTATCCCTTAACCAATGTTGATAAGGCAGTCTATCTGCGGGTAGCTGTTTGTGGAATCTTGCTGTACACAAATAGGTCACATGTTCCTATTACACCAGAGTACATCATCAGCTAAAGACTTTGCAATATCGTAATGTCGTGAAAAGCTTCTTCCTTTCTTGGTCTCCCTGTAACCACGGCATTCCTCCTGCTCCTCATTTCCTGGCTTATGGTGGAATCAAGGCTTCAATTAACATCTCCTGGTCCTTCTCTACCCTTTTCCTGAATCACCCCCTCAAACCTGTGCAGTATCTCCTCTTCTCCAATCACCCACGTGCCTCCCACATTTGTTAAACAACTAAATAGTTTGGTTTGTTCTATTTTACTTTTGTTTCTTTTGCTGAACAAACTTCTGTTTTATTGATAAAACTAACCTGCACATTTGCATGCTTATGTTTCAATGAGAGACCACCTCACTAAGTCAAATGCAAGACAAAATATATTCAGTTAATTTGGATTTCAGCCTGAGTTTTTCAGTAATTAGAATTAGACTTTATTGTCACAGGTCCTCAAATACAGAATAAAAGCAATACAGTGAAAAGTGTACAATGTCACCCTTCGCAGTGCCATCTTAGGTACAAAGAACCTACGTACAAGTCTTAGATACAAACAGAGAAATAAAGGAGAAAAAGTTACATTACTTTACAGTGATTCACAGTATAAGTTAGAAAAGTAAGAAATAAACTTAAAAGGATGAACATTACATTCAGATAAACAGATTACAGATAAACATTACATTGCAATAGATCGACACAGGCGGCTTCAACAGGTGGTCTAACCAGGCATGCAAGCCGCTGACAGCCCACACAGGTCCCCAGTCCAACAACCATGCTTCACTCCGGGCACGCTGGTGATCCCGCCCCAACCCCGGGCCTGCAGCCCACTGGCCGTCTTGGTCTTCTCCAGGTCTCCGGCCCACTCCAACCCCGGGCCTCCAGCC